ATTAGTCTATTAGTCTATATTTTCACATAAAGTGTCTGATTGTAATAAATTATTCTAGTCTCATACAATAAGCTGGAAAATATTGTTATTGAGGCTTTGAAAGAGTTTATACACAAGTTTGGAATGAAAGTCTTTGCAAAAGGAGTAAAGATTACCATAAACCTTGACCAGGTGTAAACAATTTTAAAACTGTTATTTACTGTTCAAAATTACTGAATATCTATTTAGCTTTTTCATTTCTCGAGCCAATTTAAGCAAAGTTTTATAAAGTTTGCTCTATTTTATCCAAAATCTCATAAATATTAGCATCGAAGTGCTCCTGGGTCAGCTCTGTTATAGCTACGGGTTAAATCGCTTTTTCACTATTTATGCTGTTTATATGTGTCATTTTCTTATGCCAGTTTTATAGTTTTGTCATTTGAATTTGTGAGCCTGTATCTTTTCTTGATCCATTTATTCTTTCTCATATTTCTTTGCCTCTACCTTGTTTATTTTGTTGTTTTTCTAACTAAAGTTACACGTTTAGTCTTTTCTCCTTAATTTAAGCATTTAAAGGGAGACCATTAGAAAAGAGGAAGAACAGGGGAGAGGGGAAGAAAGGGGAAAGGGTAATGTGGCAGAAATAATCAAAGTATGTTATATGCATGTACTACCAATGTGCCAAAATGAAACCCATTATTCTGTATAACTAAAAATACCATTAAAAATAAATTTCTTTAAAGTGTTATTTTTGCTACATTGATTTTTAAAGCAAATTACATATAAGTAGGCTCTAAGTACTTAAGTTTTCTTTTTACATCTACAAAGGCATTTTAGATTTTTTATAAATTATGGTTTAAAAAATTAACCTTTATTACTGACATCTACTTGTTTCTCATTATTCATTCAATACCAATTACCTCAAATTTGTTATTCACTTCATGCCTAGTAAGTAGCACAAAGCTGTTTGTAATACGCAATAATTTTTTAAATTCTCTAATTGTTGAATACAGTATTTTAAATATGTACATTGAATCAGTATTGTGAAATGCTTTCTCATTTTTGCTTAAGAGCTGTTGAAATATCTCACTATAGCTGAGTTTCTTTAGCCCTATAGTTCATACATTCTGAGGTTATTTTATAAGGTATTACACAAAATTAAAATTGTCCTTAGTGTTATTTTCAGTGTGCTTCCCTGTCTTTAATAACATTATCAAAAGGTTTATGTTCTTTGTACCAATGATTAAACTCAGGACCTTGCACTTTCAAGGCAGGCAGTGCCACAGAACTAAATCCCTGGTCCTGGAACATATTCTTCAATACTGTACTTAGGTCAAACTGAATCTCAGTAGTACTGTATTAGACAGTTTATAGAGAAATGGGTTGTTCTGACTGTTTCACTATATAGTAGGAAACAGAAGTTTCATCTGGAAAGCAAAAATCACCCCCAGTCAAGAAAATCTGATAACTCCATCAAGTAGGTAATTTAAAATATTACTATTAGTGATAAAGATAGACCCTAGCTCCTTGTACATTCTAGGTAAGCATTCTACTACTGAGCTATATTCCCAGCCATATTAGGTTCCTTTCTAATTTTCTCCCCCACTCATTTACTTGTATTGAACTGTCCCCTTCCTATTTGTGATAGTTAACTGTGTTTTCAGCTTGAAACATCTAGCTGATTGGTTTTGTGTAGTTCGGGGTGTGTCTGAATGATGGACTTACTGAGGAGGCAAGACCAATTCTGGGTGTGGCACCAACTAATAGGCTTGTAGGATGGAATTTTGAAAAAAGGAAAGAAGGAAGTCTTGCTTCTGTTTCTTTGGAGGAGGTCCAGTCTTCACCATCACCTTTGTATGTACATCTCCAGCCCTGCAGTGCAGACTCTTCGGCTTTTCAGCACACTCTATGGCTTACTGATATGGGCTCACACAGGACTCTGCAGTGAGCTCCAAGCCTCTGAATTATGACTGGATTCTTCAGACCTCCAGCATACAGATAGACCTTGGGCATTCTTCCACACAACTTTGCAGGTGTTCAGTGTATGTCTACCTTATAAATTTATAACACATCTTATATTAAATTTGTTCCTCTAGTGAACAGTGATACACTGTATCAACTTGACAACCAGACAAATTTCCTTAAACCATAGTCTCCAGATAACAGTAGCTAGTTCATAATTGTGCCTAACATGGTACAACTATCCTGCATACAAACAGAAGCATACCAATTCCCTTCCCAGAATAGAAGGCTAAATTTCCTTTTTTTCTTTTTTCTTTTGTTTTTTTGAGACAGGGTCTTACTATGTAGTTGAGACTGACCTGGAACTCACTATGTAGCCCAGGCTGGTCTCGAACTCACAGTGATCCTTGTGCCTCAGCCTCCCAAGTGCCGAGATTACAAGCGTGAGCCACCATGCCTGGTCACAGCATTTCTTAACTTAAATATTATACAGGAAGTTTAACAATACTTAAGAACCAATATTAAGTCTATCAGCATTTACGTTACAAAAGAAACATGTTAACAAAATAGGAGAAAACAATTACAATTATAATCCTCATTTCTGTAACTGATTACTGGACATTGTTGTGATGCTACCTGGCCATGTACTCCAAAAGCCTTTGACACCGGCTTGCGGGAAGAGTTTAGAAAGGTTTGGAGATGCTGGCTGGAGAAGCCCTAGAATGCTATTGAGTTAAGCCTGATGGGAAATTCTGGTCAGTGCTCAGGACCCCAGGATTCTGTTAGAAATGTATTTGACAAAGATCAGGCTCAGTTGGTTTCACTTGGAAAATCTCCACTGGCAATTAGACTCCAGTCAATGTGTGTTATGCTCTAGCAGAATGTTTACATTTTGCTCACATCCAGAAACTTTGTGGAAGACTGAGATTAAAAACAGCAGATTAGTCTGGTAGAAGAAATTTCAATGCAGTCTAATGTTGAGATGGTAGGATGGTTAGGGGCTTTTAGCCAGCTCTACGTTGAAAATCAAGAGCAAACAGTCCAGCAGAATGATTTTAAGTTTTTAGTTTGCCTAGAAAGGAGGCTCTGGTAAGCTTTGGACCTGGCAAGATGAAGCAGAGAATTTGGTTACTAAAAAGGTCAGCATTAAAATCCAACTTGCTGGGCATGGTGGCACAAGCCTGTAATCCCAGCACTCGGGAGGCTGAGGCAGGAGGATCACTGTGAGTTCAAGACCAGTCTGGGCTATAGAGTGACTTCCAGGTCAGTCTCAACTACATAGTGAGACCCTGTCTCAAAAAAACATTAAAAAAAAAAAAAAACTACTTTGGTACAGGACAATAAAAAAGATGGCCAGAGCATATCTTAAGAACCAGCAGGACTCTACCTTTTGCAAGATCAAAATTGCAAGAAAAGACTGCTTTGAGAAGACAGTCCTAGGGCACTATGCTTCAGAATGGCAACAGCCTAGAGAATGGGAATTCAGTTCATCACATTCAATCATTCAGGAACTCTAAGGCTTCTGCCGGCAAGATGCTAAAAGGGCTCAACTATTGCTCTAGCTGGTGGCAGACCTCGGTGTCATTCACATGGTGCTGGTTTTAGGCGCAAGCCAGAATCTAAGAGTTAAGAATTCTTCCACCCAGGTTTCCGAAGGTCTGGGAAGCCAGGCAGCATGACCCTGAAAGAGCAGTGTGAAATTGTGAGGGTGAAGCCAGTGCAGTGGAGACCCCAGAAAGTTGGAGAAGCCAGAAACGTGGATCTCAGGAAGGCAGCAAGAGGGGAGCAAAGCCAGCACAAGAGAGAGACCACAGGTGCTACAACCACTGCCAGTGCTATAGATGCAGGGCCACCCAAGGCCTTCGGAGTTCACATCTGGCCACAAATGGCCCCAAGTGCTGGCATGGACTATGGGATTTAACATTTGCCCTGCTGCATTTCAGTCTTAACTTTGGCCCCACTGTTTTCTATCCTATTTCTGTCCTTTGGAATGGTAATGTGCATCCTATGCTATCATATGTTGGAAGTGTTTTAACTTTCATTTTTATAAGGGCTCAAAGTTAGCAGTTTGCCTTAAATCTCACAGGAGAATTTGGACTTTTCAGTAATGCTGAAAGTGAGGACTTTGGCAACTTATAGAGATGGACTAAATGCATTTGCATAAGGGGATGTGGATGAGTCTTTTGGTTTATATCTAGATGTTCTGGGTCATGAGTGTGTGGTACTCATCACTGGATTAATCCACTGATGGGTTCACTGGTGGGTCTGATGTTGGGAGGTGAAGCCTGGTGGAAAGAGGTGGCTCAATCTGAGCGTGGCCTGCAGATATGCTATCTCTCCTCTCAATTGCTTTCTGCTTCTTGCTACCATGTCACAAGATGTTCTCCTCTGCCATGCTGCCCTGCACTGGAGCTAACTGACCATGGACTGAAACCTCCACAAACTGAGCCAAAAATAAACCTTTCTCCTTTAACTTGTGGGTGTCAGGTATTGTGTCCCAGAAATGAGAAAATAAGACACTATTTTTTATGTTTATTTTTCTTTGGAATGATTCATCTCTTATTTATTCATTTGAATATACATATTTAAATCATTGTTTTTTAAGGGTAAATAGTACGTTAACCAGTTTCCTGAAATAATAAAAGCAACTTCAGAACACTAATTTCTGGTCACCCTTCCCCCATTTTATAAGAGGTATGGCTTTTCCATTATAACTTTACTTAAAAATTCCACATTGATGCATAACAATATTTATTTAGCTTTATATTTGTACACAATTTCTTATACACTTCTTTTATTACAATTATTTTATACAAAAAGTAATTTAAATGTACTTATATTTTTCATGTTATTTTCTCACTTCAGGTCATCTGTTTGGAGAAATTTCCTTTGGTGAAGATCAAACTTTTGCACCTTTTTAAATGAAGATCTGTTGGTGGTCAGTTTTGTGCAAATTCTAAACTGAGAGTTCTCAGAATTCTGAAGATACCATCTTTTGGGGACATTCTGCTGTACTAAGTAGTGGATGATCTTGTGTTCAGAGTACCTCCTTTCATTGCTTTTAAAATCTTGTTTGGTATCTCACCATTCACGTATGTGGCCCAGTCATGGATTTTTATGTTTTGGATATGATGTGCTTCCCGAATTCCTGTTTTCACAACAACTGTAGAAAATTCTGTCATCTCTTCAGATACTATCTCTCCTCCATTGTCTCTATGGTTTCTTCCTAGTAACCCTAGTCCTTATAATTCTTTCCTTCAGAACTCCTAACTTTCTAATATTTTCTAGCTCTTGTTTCTCCCTGCTGTTCAACTGGTAATGCCTTTAGATCTAACTTTTAGTTCACTGGTCTCTTCAATCAGTTCTCCACAGAATCAGTTCTATATTGTTGAACACATCCAAGTTTTTTCTTATTTCAATAAATGTATTTCTCATTCTTAGGAATTCCACCTGGTTTTCAGATCAGAGCCTGTGGCTCTACCCTTTACCTCTATTTCTTAGGTTGGTGATGAGAAGTTGGAGAACTAAATTCAATGTTTACTTTCTCCAGAAGTTACTTCTCATGCTTTCTGGTTTCATCTTGTAGATGATTTCCAGTCACAAAATTATATTACTTAATCATAATCTATGGGAACCTTGGACGTAAATTAGAAAGGTTTTCTGCCAGGAGCTACAAAGTACTACAAAATATTTAACCATCTCATGTTCATATCTGTCTTCCTACCTTTGGTTTGATGCAAACTGCATATGGTAGCATTGCTGCTGGAATTTGACATCCAGAAAACCACAATGCACTTGGGTGCCTATAACAGCATTCATGATTCCCAACTTAAAATATGCTCATTTTTGTAGGGGAAAAAAGATAGATGTGTAGTTTTTGAAGATTTTTCCTCCTTCTTTTGAACCTACTCAAAAGTAGATTTTATTCAGGATCTAGTCGCTTCACAGAATCTAGCATAAAATCTACTGTAAGCAAAAGTCTTATTTAACATATTAAAACAGTTATGATATGGTAACGTGAGTAAGAACAGGATCTGTCTTTCTGTATTAATCAAACCTCTTGGGAAAGGTTTCCGAGCCCATAGTCAGAACAAAACATATAATATATTGGAACTCAGTGTGTATTAAACAGATCCCAAAGGATGAAGTCACTCCACAAACTGTGGCCACACTTGGTAGGAATTTCCCATAATTCTCTATTACTATTACTAAGAATTGACAGTTCAAATGTTTAATGCCCTAAATCAATGTGTGATTCAAATCAACAGGACTAAAATCTATGGTATCTTACTTTAAAAGCTTTTTTAAAAATAGACAATAATGATGAATTACATGCAACTCTCACCTAAATGCATAACCTCATTTTTGAAAAGTTGGACCACCTATAATACATGCAGAGCTACCAAGGCAGATGGTGATTTTGTATTAGAAACATACCTAATCCTCATTATGGCAGCAGATGTGGCTGCAACTGTCTTAAGTGCAGGTGGATTGTTGACAACTTTACTATTCACAGTTCACTGGATCAATGTTCACTGGATGACCAGGAAACTCTTTGTGCCTCACTCTAATCACTGAAGTAATGAAAGGAGATACCTGCAGCAAGGACTGCAACAGCAAATGCTGCAATCATACCTAAAACAAACACAAAATAAAGGGAAATGGAATGAGCAAAAGAAAAGCTTCATTGATCCTAGGTTCTGAAATGTGGGTAAGAGATGGGTTTATAAAATAATACATACAATGAGACATAAACAAACATACACACATTCTTAGCATATGTACATAGATGTAGATACTAAAAGCCAATTAAATTATAGAAGAAAATATAGTAATAACTTGAAAAATTAGATTTTAAAAACTAGATGGCTTCTCTTAAAGAGCTACATACATTCAGACAGTCCTAGACTAAGCAATTCAAAAATTTTAGAAGAAAATTTAGAAGAAAAAATATTTTCAAAAGCTTAAACATATAAAAAAGCTTATATAAATGTGTATGTGTATGCATATACATATATAAACACAGACAATATACCATCTATCCTTGATTTAGGTTAAAACAAAAACTTTCAGTTGCATTATAGCAATCATTATAATGCAGATTCATTTGCACAGATATTCAAAATTGCAAAAGCCCAACTTCCAGAATTATAAAATCTAAGTATTAGTAAATGAGGTTTGGTAACTTTTATTTTTTCTTGATTATAGTAAGTTAAAAAAAAAAAAAAGAAAAGACTGACCAAAGTAATACAGAATCAAAGACATACCGAGATACAAAGAATTGAGATAATCAACTAAGGTTTATCTAATGAGCCACAACAAATACAACTAAATCTCTGGCTCGTAACTCTCATTTGAAAAGTCTTAATGCTAAACATTTCTCACATTATTCCACTAAATGATATTCTATGTGTTCTTTGTCCAAAGAAACCTAAAATGTGTTGGAGTACTGCACTTCTTAGAGCCTTCAGAATACAAAAGTGTATTATAAATTTCTAAACTTGAACGTGACTTTTCATTTTATAAAACATGTATCAAAATCTCTGACAGCAGTAATTCTAGGAATACCAGTTTGGAAAAGATTGGCCGCGATATATTAAGCAATTCCCAGTATTTTATGTATTTTTCTATAAAAACATGAGAAAAGTTAATAGGGTACTTCATCTCTGAGAGCAGTCAGGTGACATTTCATTATTTATAAACTCTTCTATCTCCAGGGCGTGGCACTATCCATAATATTCAATGAATACTGGCTTAATCTAGCACTTGTAAGAAATAAAAATAAAGTGAAAATAATTTTAAAGTAATAAGAAAACTGAAACCCAAAGTATGATCTTTTCAACATTATAAAAAATAAAATACCTATGTTTTGCTGAATTTTCAATATTATTGTAGTTTTAACTGGTTGCTCTGGCTGTTCAGCTTCTGTGTTGTCCAATGCTGCCTCATTATTCATAGAGGAACTCATAAAAGCTGCAAGAAATAATAATGAATCCCATGTAAAATAAGAATTATCATTGCAGAGTTTTAAGGACCATAACAAGGAAAATATACAATCAATACCATATTTCTCCCACTAATCTTTTTTATAAAAATAACAAATTTATATACATTTCTGAATGAAGGTGAATTAAATGTCATGGAATATATGTCAAATTCACAAATACTTTTTTTTTTTTTTTTTTTTTTGGTACCAGGAACTGAACTTGGGACTTTGCACTTGCGAGGTGGTAGAACCACTGAGTTAAATCCCCGCCCAAAATACTCACTGACCTAAAGCAGAAAACCACAGACCCAGTACTGAATGACTCCCACTCAAGTTAAAAATTCGTTATAAAAACAAGAAATGTGAAAGAGAGCTTATATAGACCACAAAATGTTTACTATTTGTTCCACAGGGGGAAAACACATCTGGTGACTACTGATCAAATCTGAAATTTGAAATATATAAGCAAAATAGTCATAAATTTGACCTTAAAACTCTGAATATTAAGCAAGACAAGTACATAATTTTTGCAAATGAACAAAGCCTAGGAGGTTGAGTCCATAATTGAGGATTACAGAAGTTATGCAAGGATTCAAAAAAATTCTCTAATTTATCACATTAACAGAAATTTACATTCACTGGCCTATCTGAATTCAACTCTGATTAAATAAGTGCACTGATACATTCTTAGAATGACATAGGACAGTGGTTTTCAATATTTTTTTCTAGTGTTAAAGAATCCTATAAAAAATAAAATATGATAGAATATCACCATAAAATGTATGAAAGTAGTACTCCTCAGGGTAAAGCTGGGATGGAACATTCCTAGAGCCTGACCAATTCCTTTCTTTTACACATCTACCACTCCAGAAGTGGAAGCAGAGAGTACTGTCCTATAGAAATCTAGATAACTATATTTGAAAACAACTATTTCACAGATTCCTTTATTTATTGAAGAAAAAAAGAGAGTAAGTATGCCAGAGACATAGTAAATACTTCTTTAAGTAAAACAGTCTATTTAATTTAAAATATCTTTATAGACACCTCTGTACCCCTTAAACTATTATAGGCCCACAGGATGACACAAAAAGTCACTGAAATTTGGTATCTACGGTACCAAATTGGATCAAGGGGGGAAAAGTCACCTTCTCATTAATTTCCCATGAAGAAAAGTTTACCGTGATTTTCAGAAACAATCACTGGTGATCACTTCATTAGGATTAGGGACACCATCATATCTTTTTCCATCTTTAAGCATTTATCTAGAGTTCTTTAAAAACAGATTGAAAAAAATTTTTTTGGTTGCTGGGGTCAAACCTAGGGTCTAGTATGTGCCTGTCAAAATTGCAAACGTACTACCACTAAGCAACATCTCTAGCCCTTTTCTCCTTTTTTCTAAAATCATAAATCACAAATGACAGCAAATTTATATTATGATTTATCTGTATGATATTTAGTATTTTCATGGTTTCTAGTTTTCTCAAGGGCTATACCACCTTAGTTCTAGATTATAAATAGTTTAACAATTCTTTCAATTTCACCTTTCAACTTCAATATATAGGTCTAAAAGTTGAATAGATAACAACTTTATTCATGTTAAACAAACAAGTAGCTGCTCTTCTATGAGACAGTATCTTTGCTAAAGCTTTGAAGCCAATAAAATATTTACATCAAATAAAAATGAGATAAAGTACGAGTTATATCTATTGCTGTAAAAAATTTTTAACTTGAAAACCTATAAACACAAAAATATCTTATCATGACTTACATATTTAATATCAAATTGTTACACACATAAATTGTTATATTTAATATTGAGTTGAAGATTATGCTCTAATGAGCACAAATAACCTTTTAGAAAAAAATATTCTACTCCGCTAGCTATAAGTTTATCATATAAAGTCATGTGATTTTATAAAGATTTGAGATAATTTCAAAAAAGCCGAATATTTTTCAAGGATTAATAAGGCCTTGTCATAACAATTTGTCAGATTGTCTTTGGTGAGAGTTTAAAACTTCAGCAATTATGTCATTTCACCAATTCTTCAATATTTTATTCAAAATTAGAAGCAAGTAACATAGTTCTGTAGGAAATTCAATTTTAAGCAATTCCTTAAAACAAAGTAATTTAAAAACTTCAAACAATTTCAAAACAAATCAGATTGAAGTAACTTTGAAAGAGGGATGAAAGAACTATTATACATGCAAAATTATACATATGTTCAGATTTTACTCCAACTGCTAATGGGTACCCAGCACTATTTGGAAGCTTACAATGAAATGTTAAGATCTGAACTTCATACCTAGTTGTTCTCCCTACCCCAGTATCATATTTTCGACTGAAGATAGTGATTTACTCTTTAACTAAACAACAAAAATTAACTTTAGCTCTTCAACCCTGAAGTAGAATTGCCAAGATAAATTTCACTGGATTTTAAAGGCACATCTTTAATGTTTTTTATATAATATTATGGACAAAGTATATCTGAGTTATTAAGTAAATGTCTACTAAGAGATGATTAACACACAGAAGACGTTTTAAAGCCAGAATCATCCCATAAGTGAGTCATTTTGACAAACTGCTCTTCATCCCTGAAGTCATTTAACAGTGTGTTATTTTAAGATACATACTTGGCAAAATATGTATTTTTAAACATAGCAACTATTTGGTAACTATAGCACAGAACAGAAATAATTAAGTAATAATCACAGAAATAATTTCAAATTGTACCTAGAAATAAAGCCAAATACTTTGAAGTTTAATGCTGTGTACTTGATTTTAATTTTGAATCTAAAGTATTTTTTGTGGTTTATTTTATATTGAAACCCTAATTTCAAATGTTAAAAAATCTGTGTATTACAAATTGCACTTTCAGTTTAATGTTTTTCATTAACTTAGAAGTTAAGTTGTTCATTATGTAATATTAATATTAATCTCTATTCACTTATCTTTCTTTTTAGAAAATATGTTCCTTAACATTTTTACCAAATTCTCACTTCAACTCTAATAAAATGTGGGGTTCAAGGAAGGACTTGCTAATACCACTATAAGTGGCAGACCTGGATTCCAGCTAAACTACTATAGTGATACCTGGGTTGTTGAACTCAATTCATTCTAAATTCATGTTTTAAACACCAAAAAGTCGAAGAACTGAACATATTTTTCCCATAAGAAATAACGGAAAATAAAATAATTGGTCTTAGGCCCCAAATTATACTCATAAATTCATTTTTCCAGAATGTGAACAAATTTCTTAATTATAACTCTATGGTGGTTCTCATGGTTTCCTCTTAGCTTTACTGATGATATCATTAACCTTCTTTGGAGCCATGGCTATGATCTTTTACACAAATAAAGCACACACACACACACACACACAAAGAGCAATGTTTAATCACTAACACAAACACTACATGTTGTCTGGGCAAAAGCAGCGCTGAAACTGAAGCATGTGTGACGTTGGTAGGCCAAGACACACAACTTTCTCTTTTGCCTATAGGGGTTTTTTTCAAGTCAGATTTTCAGTTAGACCACTGAGTAAAGTTACAAACACTGAATAGATATTTTTTGAACTTTGCTGTTTGAGTAATGGAAAATTCTAGCTTGGAGTCATTCAACAAAGGAGGTATCACTGTTATCTTGGTTAAAATTATGGCATCTGACATCTTTGAGTCAATGAATAAATTAGTAAGTGAATATAATTTTAAACCAATAGGAAGTTTATGATAATGTGCTTAAGATTTTTGTTAAAATTTGTAATTTTACCCTACTTCATAATTTGGGAATATGCTCTCCACTGAAAATACACACAATTACTAAATCATTCCTTCTAATTTAACAAATGCCTGATGAAATAAAACTAATGTAATTCTAAACAAGTCATATTCTTGTCTACATCTACTAGGGTTCAGTTTCTAAAAAGCCTAAAGTTTTTGTCTAAATTTACTCTTCAAAATGAACTTAAATGTCATCTGCTCTGAGCTGAATCCCTTATAGATAATGCCTCTGCTAAATGTTCTAAAATTCTGTTCATTTCTCTGTTGTAGACTTATTCACCTTGTCTTGTATAATCCACTTTTCTGTATTACCCACTGTACTTTGAACCTAAGAGTCAAAACCACATCTTTAATCTTTAGAATGCTAATGATCAATGCATAATAGGTGAACAATAAATCATTCAGCTGAGGATCATGAATGTCAAAAACAGAAGAGTCCTAGAAAGATCAGTTACCATATTGCAGTACTACTGTCTTTACTACATTACACAATTTTTAAAAAGTCTGTAATACAATCTAGAAATGTACAATTTCATATGAGCATAGTTATATAAATATCTATGCCTAAACTTTCCAAATTACTGTTCTGGAATCCCCTCAGTATTATAGTATAAAACTCTTCCATGAAGTATCTTAAAACATTTTGGTAGAATTTCCAAACACACACACACGATATATAAAATATATATATCAGTGACATTTTTTAATTCTTTCAGTTATTCTGAAGTGTCAAGCAGAATTAAGGAAATACAAGCCATGATACTTAAACTAGACATCTCAGAGGTAATTTTAACTGTACTATAATTAGTTTAATTACCTGTGTTTATTTCCTCTGCAACTTCTAAACATTCCATTTGAATCATCTGATCTAACATCTCTATAAAATGCTCTCTGATTTCTTCAGTGGATTCATCACCAAATTTATAATCACATAACATTACAGTGGATCCAGGAATGGGTACAAAAACTCGGTGAGGGAGGATGTGGAACTCTTTTTCAGAATCTAAAAAGAGAATAAACATTATACCATTATTATGGTATCAGTAAACATACATTTTAATAGACATCTAACAGAAAACATACATTTTAATAAACATCTAACAGAAATAAAGCTTGAGGGCCAGGGATTTAGTTCAGTGGTTCTGCCACCTGCCCTGCAAGTACAAGGTGTCGAGCTCAATCCCTGGTACCAAAATAAAAAAGAAATAAAGCTTGAAATAGCAATGCTTTTTCATTATCTAATAGGGAAAAAAAATTGCTCTTATTTCATTCAACTCTGGACCTCTGAAAGGGATACAGATACTCTTATGAAACTCAAAACTTATTCCCTTCAATGTAAAAATCTTGACTACATATTCTTGATTATATACACTCTGTCTTATGATGGACCACTTAAGAGAGAATTTCATCTATGGTCTACAAATTGTTTACTTTAACCTTATAAGCACTGTAAATTTTATAGCTGACTTTCCCCTTTATATTTATGCACATTTGAGCCAAACAAGGGGCCTACCTATGTTAAGTATATAGGACATGACAACATACATTTTTGCACCAGTGTTACTATTGACTTCAGTGTTACTAGCTATATAACCCCTTCCAATATCAAGCATGTTCAGGACATTAACAAACATTTTGTATATCAACCTCACTACTAATTATATCTTGCTTTTCTTTCCATACTCCTTTTGGATCCTTCTGTCTCATTTACTTGTAATGTCTCTTTGTAAACAGCCATAATTTTTAGAAAAAACTATGTAAACTACGTTTCACTTTTCTTTGAATACTTACAAACTAGAATTTCCCCAGATTCTGACATAAAATCACTGGGTACATTTATGATTCTAGTGAATTGTTACAAAAATTGAGATGTGGGGTAAAGAATGACCTCTGTCAGCAACAGATATGATTAAAAAGCTAATATAAATATCAACTAGAAAATCTGTGCTCACTTTAATAGTAATCCATGTTTCCTTTATCAATAAACTAGTGGTAGCTTTATATAATTAAAAACAGAAGATGATGAATAAGGTCTTAAATGTCATGGGACATGCCATGACTTAAACTGTTTTCCTTTCAAATTTGTGTATTACCTTGTTTGCATGAGAATTGGGAGAATAATTTTAGTCTTTGACCTGATTGCCTCCTAGCTGTGTAATAACATTACTGCAATCTGTATTACAGCATGTAAATTGGCTACACATTGAAACTGGGATTATATTATTTTATTTTAAGACAGACACTTAAAAATAGATTAAAGAATCTAAGATGGCTATAACGTGCATGTATTCTTGGCACACAACATTTTAAAACCACTTTAAACTATATTGATTCTAAGACAGCCTGTCAAAAAAAAAATCATGCTATAAAATCAAACATTAAAGAATCACTTGGAATAAATTTAAACTACTCATTAAAAACATAAAACACTTATAACTTTAAAATTAAAACGTTACATTAACAATTCAGTATCTCAATAATATCAAGGTTTTCAGTTGGTCTGAGTTTAAAAACATCTCACATAGTATTCCAAAGAAGAAATCTTTAGGATTCTTCCCCAAAGTATATAATTCACCATTATATGAATTAGTACAAAACAGGAAAAAAAATTTTTCAATTTAAGCCAATTTTTTAAGAACTGGATTTCAGCTGGTTAAAAACAGGATCCTAGCTTATATCACAGTATTATGGAAACTTCTATAGAATAAGTGCTGATTCTTAAAGGAGAAGCAGACATTTGCATAAAAGGATGAGCAGTTCCATCCAGAGGGCAGAATCATGGGTACAAGGTAGATAGCATAAAACATGTTCTGGGATAACAAATATATAAATGAGTGAGGGTGTAAGAATGAAATAAGGAAGGTATCTCATAATAAACAATCTCAATTTTCACCCCAAGTCAGTTGTGCATGACTGAATGAAGACTTACAGAAAATAATGAAGGTCTGGAATATATCTTAAGGAGAATAAGAAAAGACGACCACAATAAGTAAAAGGATTGATTGGAATTGTGTTATCATCATTAAAATATTAAGTTCTTTCAAACAAACAGCTCAAACTCAAAGATTTAAAGATTAGAGATGTAGTTAATAAGCCTTTTGCCGACATGCAAAAATATTCCAACTCTGGTTAAATGTCTACATTTTATCATATTATATCTGGCAGATCTTACCATATAAGAAAGATAAGCTACGTAAAATCCTGAGGCTGACTTCACCAGGATCTCATTTCTGTCATTATTATTACCATATAGGGGATCAGACCCACAGCCTCACACATGGTAAGTTCGCATTCAATCATTGAGCTATAGCCCCACCTACCAGCTGCCATTATATCAGGCAGCAGAGAACAACAGACAGAGTTGATGACACCCAGGACTAAGCTAATGCAGATATAATGCCTCTCACCCTCCAAAACTGTGAGTAAATAAATCTCTTTACTTTAAGTAGCCTACCTATAGTATTTTTTTTATAGTGACAAAAAGCTGACTAATAAAGAACACAATAATTTCAAAGTATTTCATCTTTCTATAAAATCATACATTTCATTTTCTTCAGAGGTCCCAAGACCACTCAATTACTCAGTAAAAACTTTAACTTTTTAAAAATCTAAGATTAGATTATATTTATTTCTAAATATATTAAGTTGAATGTATAAATAGTACCACTGCTATTAGAAGCTATTGATTTTATTAACTGACATCATCAAAAATTTCAAAATAATTCAATATAAAACAATACCAAGGCAGCCATGTAGTAATGCCTATATAAAGCATTTTTAAAAGAAACAGAGTATACTGATGTGTCTAATAACGTAAATTTCTGGCAATAATGGTGAGTACATCCCCATGCCCAAGAAAATCATAAAACTGACAAATCAGCTATAACACAGAATGTGTTTCTCAAGAAAAAGAAGTAATGATTACTACCACAAGAGTTACCACATAATCAAAATCAAACAGCAAAAACAAAATGTCATTGAGTAAAGGCTGCCAGGGTTAAGTTAAGAGAAGAGGTTAAACATTTCCTTCCCCTCAAAAATTTCAAACCAACTGTGTTAAGATTCAAATCTGTATATATAGTAAATAAAATTTCAAGATTTTTTGTTAATTATGGGATGGATAAAAGCTTAATCTAGCTATCTGAACAACCAAACATACTACAAATGAAAAAAGGCTATGTAGCTAAGAAATACATATAACTTACACAGTTCATAAGTACTATTATTAAAGAATCTATTCTATAATACTCAACCATAATAAGTTGATACTTTGATTACAACTACTTTAAAAAAACAGGTAATAAAAAGTATGAACTTTAAAACTATCAAATATTTACAGATTCTGGCAGGGGAAGGTTACTCAGAATTAGTTTCTCAAAAATCTTTCATAAATTTGTTAAACAATGTCAGTTTTACTATTATAAAGTGTTCCAAAAAACTGGCGAATGGATAGTAACCAAAAAGGTCTTTCAGTAATAAGACAATTGGTATAAAAAATGCAGTAAAAGATGGCATATCTATTACAACTTGACATCTTACTATATCAAATGGAACATATGCCCTCCAAAAAGTACTTATTTTATACTCATAACTTTTTTTTCTGGACTTTCATTCAAAAGTAGATCCTCAAATAGTATTTCACAGCGATCGGCAACTGTGTTCAATATATCTCTCTTCACTGCCTGTGGGGAAGGGATGACACAAGCAAAAACAAAAGAAATAAATACTTTAGATTTGTATTAATTACCACCCCAAAAACACATAATTTGCTTCCTAATATAATCATGTCCACTAAAAATTGATATATCATTCCATTTGCTATTTCCATTTTAGTTAGCATGCCTATTAGCACATTTATAGTTTAATGACAAATATGCCTAGATCTCATTTGAATGGTAAATTAAAACCAAATACATGGATGAAATTTTGCACTTAAATAAATCTTGCCAACATTTCAAATTAAGAAATGTATAATTATAATATAAACATAAATGGTCACTTTTTAAAAACTCCTGTTATAGAACAGTACCTAATAATTTTATTTATACATATTCTCCTGTTTTAAAAATTCAATTTCCTTCAAAAGAAATGAATTATTTTTTCCCCCAAGTACTAGGAACTGAACTCAGAACCTTGCACTTGCCAGGGAGGTACAACGCTACTGAGATAAAACTAAAAAAAGAAAAAAATGACTTCAGATGTACTAAAGTGTCATATGGTTATTTACTAAACCAATATAAAAACAACTTTTAAAAGGCATAATATAATAATGAAAATCTTGGATCAAATTACACAGTATAGATGGACTGCCCAACAGATTGGGCCATCAATTAAAATCAAATTAAAATTGTAAAATCTGAGGTTCAGAATGACAATTTTAGGATGTTTGAATAGTTATATTAACTTAGTTCCATTTTCATATGCCAGTAATTCCTTTCTGTACCTGCACAGCATCTTTAACTTTGGGTTTATTGCTATGAATGTAAGCTCTGCATTTCACATCACCCTTAAGGTTTACAGAACCGCTGCAGACCTGGGCTGTGGCTGTGGATCTGTGGTTTGAATTCAGTAGCTGAAAGATAAAATCTGTTTCAGTTCCTACTGTCAATAATATTAGGAAACACTACTTAAGCCATTTTATGGAAAGAGGAATTTCTGACTGAATTAAGCATTTGAAAATACTATCAATAAATATTAAATATTTCTCTTCATAGGTTACACTTTTTCTTACCATTTTGAATATCTACTAAAATCAAATCCAATTATACTGAAATGTTTTTTCACCAACATAAGCATTTAAAACACCAATATTCATTTAATATATTAACTAAAAACATTAATTGCAGAATAGATTAATATTGTGAGGATAAAAAGACATACAGACATGATATAGTAGGAGACACAGGGTATGAAATACAAGAACTGGACAAAAGTAAAAATACAAAGTAGGATGTGATAAATATGGTAAAATTATAAGCAATGCACAGGACCACATTTATTTATCACTTTAAACCTGTTACTTCCATATGCTAAAAACACTGTTCTATTTATGTGAAAACATTATGTCAACTATGACTGTCACCAGAAAAGGATATTACTGGTTTCAAATGAATGAAATAGTTAACATTTTCATTTCACAATCCCATCTTTTTAGTTTAAGGGGTAATCATTCCTGCTTGGTTTTTAGGTGTTTCACAGACATTTTTAACCTATTCATGTTAATAAGTGCCAAAAAAGAGAGCATGTGCACATGGGAGGTAGTAGTAAAGGCCTATCATCACAATGGAAACAAAAATTGTGATAAAAACAAAACAAAATTTTAAAACTAGACATGAAAAGAAGGTAATTCACATTCTACATACCCTTTCAACAATAGTGTCCATTCTGAAGAACAAAAAGCAAATTATACAATTTGTGACAGTGCTATAAGCATATAAGCCTATGTAATCAAGAAGAAATGAAGACGAAAAAATATAAAACAATGGAAGGAATTGAGTATGAGGGCAATGAGTAGTTAATGCCTAACGTAATTCAGACAAAGGCTAGATCTGTTTAAGAACTTAAATTCAATCATGGTCTTGTTAGTAAAAAAATTTATCACAGACCAAACAATTCAAAAGTTTCATGTCCATTTAAACAATGTTTATCACCAAATGAAACAGCAGTATGACAATGTTAACACCATATTTGGAAGTAGCTTCACAGAACATTTGTAGAGTTCATTGATATGAATAAGGTGAGGGTGGAGAATAATGGACTCCCTTACCCACTTCACATATCTTGACTGTGGATGAAACTACTCTATCTGAAAAATGGCTTATTTTAAATATTCAGTCAACAACTTAAAATATATCTTTTACCACATATTTATAATATATATATAATATATGTATCAGGGCATTGCTTTTCAAAATATACTGGATTACATATAAAAGATTGCACACATATACATTTCAAGGAAAAGAATTTTAAGTATGTAAAGACTGACCTTCTTTTTGAGTGAAAATATAACTGCATTCTACAAATGTAATTTCCTCTTGGTTACATGGATGTACAAACAAAATGGCTTATCAACAGCTTTGGGGAAGCTAATTTGTTCATAAGCAAAGAACTCTCTGATACTGATAAGGTATTTTGGAAAAAAAGATCAACTGGCTATGGTGATCAACCGAAACCTAACAGAAGTAGTGGTACAATGGTACAGATCTCAACGTACAAACAGCGTTTTGACTGGGCAAACAGGAAAAGTTGGTACCAGCAAAATACATGGTTCAAGAAATATACAGAATTTTAAAAGCACATCAAGCAAACATCCAGAATGCTAAGAGCTATGCTGAAGCTATGAAGAATCTTGAATTAGACTTTCCTAACAAGTCAATATATAGAAATTATGGAATCTGAGCAAGGACAATAACAAAATCAGTGTTTGACCTATATACAAATACTTTCTGAAAAAAGTTAATATAAGTGAATGAATGCAAACTGTGATTCAGAAAGGTTAACCCAATGTTATACACAGGATAAAGTAACAATATGGAAAAGTATTCCACACTATAAAGAATAATGAAAGGGTTTTCAGGGATGATCATTTTGAGAAAGGATGGTCAAAAAGACCCATTTTAAGAGTTACATGTGCTAATCCAGGTAAAAAAAAATCTTACCATTATAAAGCTATTTAGAGTGGAATGATATAAGGAATTCAAAAGATTTTTCACTGTAAAGAAAGTACTTCTTAGGGCCTGGGATTTAGCTCCGCGGTTCGGAGGGCTGCCTCACAATCACAAGGACCTGAGTTTGATCCCGGTATCACACACAAAAAAATGTACTTTTTTTTTTTACAATATATACTGTGGCCTTCAAAAATTCTAATTGAGTGACTAGTGGAATAATAAAATATATTACATATTACAAGTATCCTTTATAATATCTTCTTCCACTCTTTTGTCTATATTCCTATGTTCTCCTAAATGCAGTTTTTAATCGCTAAAATAATTTTAAGCAAACTCCTTAATAAACCACAAAATCAATGTAACTAGTAAAGAGCATGCAACACCACTACAATCAAAACAAAGATAGAAAATGACATTAAAAATACTTTTAAGGTACTGGTAAAAACACTGAGACCTGAGAGGGTAAAATTCAATGACAGGTTAATAATGCTCATAGCTAAACAATGAGATAAAAAATTAAAATATACTCGTGAGTGGAACAAATTGTCTTTCATTCTATTTTATTCAGTTAAAAAACGTAAGCACTGGTAGTATTTTTCTGTTTCAAAGTCAAGTATAATACTGAAATGAAAAGTTTCCTGAAAACATGGTTACACCCTTATCTATAACTTTTAGGAATAGTTACTTTTAATGCTTTTTTTCTGCTTCAAATTTCCAAAGATTTGCATAAGTTAAAGTAACCATACAGAAATATGAAACTTGATAATTCATATTTTGTGATTTTTATCAAATCAGAGGTGGCATACATCTACTTTAAATTAATGATTGGTAACTCCTGGCACATCTGTGCATGTATGTTTTCCTTTTTTTTTTTCCTTTTGGTACTGCGGTCCTCACACTTGCAAGGCAGGAGGTAGAACCACTGACCTAAATCCCCAGCCCTGTATGTTTTACTTTTAAACTGCTAAGAATTATGGCTTAACTTATAAAACCTGCAACTCAAAGTATTTAAATAAATGCATGTACACAAAGGTATGTGTATCCATGTATGTATTTTATATTTAAACAGATATCTACTTGACAGCTTCAGGTGAAAAACTTTTAAAATAAGTTTTATTAAAACAATTCTTGAGAGTAGCTTTATTGTAACTAGATTTTATACAACCTCTTACACCTCTAAAATTTTGTGTCTAATTATAAACATAAATAAAAATAATTTCATTCTTGTTATTCTAAGAAGCAATGTACTCCAAATGTTATTTCTAAAAATATTTACCAACTGTGTTAGCACGCGGACATCAAAAGAATGACTAGATGATTCAGTATTTCCTCTAGATTTTTTCTAAAAAAAAACACACAAACACACACACAAAAGTTAAAAAGCCACTGTTGAAACTACAACAGGAACATGAAAGACAATTTATGAACTATCTCACAAATACTAAGTAAATGAAAGGAAAAACAGTTCTTACTTATTGTAACTCAGCTTTTTAAATAGAAATGCTATTTTATGTATTCTTTATCAACCAATATGTACCTTAAAAAATTCCTATGTTTAATTCCTCTAGAACAAGGGCTGCTAAACCATTGCCTGAGCCAGACACACATACCACCTGTCTTTGAAATAAAGTTTTACTGGGACATAACCATAATCATGCACGTACATGAACATGAATGGCTACTTTCACCTCATGACAGCAGAAATACATAGCTGTATGGTGTGCAAGGTCTAAAACATCTATTTTTGGCTTTTTACCTAAACTTTGATAATTGTTGAAGTTCCTCTTCATTCAAGTTAAAACTATTTTAGAAGCACTACTACTATATTAGAACAACATGGGTCTTTTAGTTTTAAGTATGTAGTTTACAATTTGGAGATTAGACAGAACTTAGATGACACTCCCAATTGAAGGTTTCAGTAACCCAACTACATTAGAAATATAATCTCCTATCATTTTGTGAGAAAAATATTTGTCCTTTAGTTTCAAAGATCTCAGAAATGAATACATGAAAGCTGTTTTCCTGAAGGTAAGAATTAAAGATACATTACTTTTTTCTTTTTCCTTAAGAAAAAATTATTTCATAAGTAATATTATTTTCTCATAACTTACCTGTCCTTCTAATAGGTCACAATCTTCATCTTTAACTTGTCCATTAATAAAATAAACACCATTTTCAATTTGCTTGGCCCAGCGTGTGAGTCCATTCTTAAAAGAAATGGAAACCTTTCAGATACCCCATCTCAAGTAAACTCTCTAGACTCTACTTTTTTTCCACCTAATATAATGAAAAATTGAAAACCCTTAATAATCAGTAATGCAGTACTTAAATCGTCTCACAAAGTAAATAAGAAGACTAATTTGTGGTACTTTACTTTATTTTAATAATAGATTTTTTGGATCTTTATCCTAAACTAACATTTATATCACAGATTCCAGTCTTACCAACTACATGAACACAGTAAAATAAAATTCAACAATGCCCTTTATTATTTAAAAAATAAAAAGAGCTTCAAATAATAAATTATTCATGAGGAAAAAATAAACAAATTCTATTTGCCTTCTTCAATGTGAAAAAAGAAAAATTAGACAAAACAAAAGGATGACATCAAAATACAAGAAAGGACTGGAAAAAGAGGACAAAACTAATAAGGACAAAAAGAAAGCTACAAAACTAAACAGTATAACTACTGATATTACATTTTACATATGCTAGTTAATAAATATTTATTAAGTGCTTATTATGTTCCAACACTGGTCCATGTCTAAAAAATTTCTAATACGGCTTGAATATTGAGGATTATAAAATGACACAACCAGAATAATAGCAGAATGTCCACTCAGCAAATACTAAAGAAACTTCATTTTGCCCTGATACCTTTGTATTTTTCTCCAGAGTACAGCTGATAGAAGTTGCAGAAAGTGGTATGTGAATATCAATATGAATAGTACACTCAAGAGAAAGCCATGAGGTAGATAGTCTATTTTGATACTTCCAGTCTGCTGGTCTTGCTGAGCTCTTCAGCAAGGGAGAAGGTAGAAAAACAAAGTATACTATAGTTAAGATAAAATACATGCATCAATAAAACATCATAAAGTGTATAACCTAATAACTCAAACAAGTTTATATGCAGTATACTTGGCAAAATTCATTGATCAAAGGGAAAAATACTAGAACTAAATAAGAAATAAAACATGCATTAAGTTGTAATCTTTAATAATATATTGTAGACAACCTGCCATATCCCTTAAAGGATAGGAAGAAAAAAATCAGTATTCTATGTTTAGAATTCCAAAGTGTTCTGGATCTTCTGCCTTTTACCAGTACCTTCAGTAGTGTCAATTCTGATGATCCAGATGTGCAGCAAATAATTACTGATTACTAGGTGCAAAACATTCTCCTTTCTGTCCCATCCTTGCTAAAACATTGCAAACTTATACTTCTTAACACTGCTTTTAAACACCTTAACAAAATGCTGGCCTAAGTTCTGTTGAACATAGGCAGCTTGTTTACTAGGCACTACAGCTGCCAAAAGTTTCCAGTCATTTTTTACTCTCAGCTTTTCAAATTCAAAAGTGCATATATAAGCAAAGTAGGAGAAGCTTAAAAGTATATTTATTGACTTATTTATTTTTGGTACTGGGGATCGAACTCAGGACCTTGTGATTGCGAGGGCAGGCAGTGGAACCACTGAGCTAAATGCCCCCCCACCCAATATATTAATAATTTAAAAGAAACTTTTCCTTCCCTATAATAAAATTAACCTATTTCAAAATAATATAGGTGGCCACTGACATCAATAGGAAGTAATAGAATTGAAAATAATGAAAACTAAATAAAAAATGTGAATTTTAATTTAAAAGTAGTCCCAACACAGAAAAATATTTAAAGAGTAATTTTTCTTACCTTTGGATCATCGACATCATAAGTTCGACAAGATATCCTTTACTAATTAAGGACAGAAATAACCAAAATATGACTCTTGATAATCAACAAAATATAAACCATCAAAACATAACAGTTCTTATGAAGCATAATACTTTATAAACTTAAAGATATGTAGATAAATGTACAGAAAGTATTTATGTCTTTATATAATAAACACATTAATTGTCTATAGCAGTTGCGGTACTTGAAAACTATTTCCTTCTGTTTATAAATATTGCTGATCACAATAAACAAAATAGAAGCACTTGTGTAATTTTCCTCAAACATACCACCTATAACAAGAGTTCTGTTTTGGATGGGGTCAAGCCCAAGAATGTTCACTGGGCCAAAAGGCTGTATACAAAATTTCCCAATTAAATACTAAATAAATTAAAAGTTATCTTCTGTAGGAATAGTTGATTTTCACATTGTTTTATTATACTTTAAAAAATATAAATACCTAAATAAAAGATACTTTTTTGTAGAAGAGCAAATGTGAAGTATCACTCGTTCTGAAACTTCCTCCTCTGTGAAATTCCACAGTCTTTTTCTAGTCATAGACTTTTCCACAGCATATATTAGCTGAAATACAGAAAATACACATTATTTGAATACACACACACACACACGCACACACACACAAACAATAATGAATGTGGAAAAAGGCAATTATAACATCCCTAAGCTATCATTCAGCTTTAAAATTCCATTATTATTTTTTGCTTTGTCTCTCTGGCTTATTTTACATAGGGTCTCACTTTGTAATTTAGGTTGGCCTTGACCTGGAAGTGATCCTGGCTCAGCCTTCCCAGTGTTGGGATTACAGTGTTGGAATTACATAGTGTGTGTCACCATGTCTGGCTTAAAATTCCATGATTCTATCATTAATTTTTCTCATATTAAAAATAAAGAGTAGAACTAATGTATTAACTGAGTTTGGACTCCACTTGAAGGATTAAGATAAAAATTTTCCAGGGATTGAACTGATGACCTTGAGCTTACGAGTCAGGCAGTGGAACCACTGAGCTAAATCCATTGCCCAATAAAAATGTTTTTTATTTTTACTTTTATTGGTTATACAGATTAATGGGTTTCAATAATGGCAGATTCACACTAATACTATATTTTAATCATTTTCACCCACTCATTACTCAAAATTGGGTTTTAAATAGAAAGATATAAATCAATTTCCCTCATGATTAACTTGACATGAAAAATTAATTTTGAGCAATCAGTATTTACATGTAGAATAGGGACTTTAATTTGAATGAGAAATGAGGAATGATTTTCAATATAAAATGGAGAATGCTAGCATTTAGCAATTTCTATTTAAATGTCACAAGAGACAAAATAGGATATAAAGATACAGCAGTAACAAATTTTGAGTGAAAAAATCAGAACAGTGACATAAATTTATTTCAGAAATAAGAATTATCAAATGAACACTTGATATGGGGTGAAAGTGTCAAAAATGCAGCTGCCAGCTTTCTAACAATAATATGTGGACAGAAATTTGTTATGCAATTTACATGGTTCTAAACTGAAAACAACTGAACAAAAGAGGCACAACTTTCTTGATGACAGTATCAAAAGAAGTTTCCAGGGCCAGGGATTTAGCTCAGTGGTTCTGCCACCTGCCTCGCAAGCACAAGGTCCTGAGTTCTATCCCCAGTACAAAAAAAAAAGAAGTTTCTCCCAAAAACACACCAATATACTATAAAATGAAGCAATTTTATAATAAATAAAGCTTTTAACAATAAACCTTATGGATGACATTAACAAGTTTTAAATGCTTATGTCTCTCAACGTAGGCCAGTGGAAACAAAGTTAAATAAACAACTTCTGAGACAGTATTTATAAAGTCTCACATACTTTTTAAAAACAAAACTTACAAAGCAAAAGAAGAACTTGACTGGACCTGTCTATGTCATCTATGTTCACTCCATTCAATTCAGTACCAATCACAAAAAGATTCACAAGCCATGCTATGAATATTAAATACACATGAATTTAAAGTATATTTTAAATTGCCAAACATGATGAACAAAGGTGAAAAAGGTAAACTCATTTAAAATGGCAAAGATGATAGAAGAATGAAAAATTTAATGAAAAGAGAGGATCTGCATTTTCTTCTCTTACTGTCTTCACAACATACCAGGTATGAGAGTGGGATGTCTGATAAGAGCAATGACAAGCTGAAAGAATTTACAGCATCTAGGGTTGTAAGCTGTACTCTTTTTACTAAAACTTTTTCCCATGGGGAAATCTGTGGGACTTTGTGCTTCTGAGAATTAAAGCTGTTTCAATGTATCCCTACATATACAATTTGGAACATTAATTATGTCTAGGGTGAGTATGTATATATGAGTTAAACTCTGATATTATTGAGAAAAGTTAACTGGGTATTATGGCCCATGCTTGCAATCCTAGCTCTCTGGGAGGTTGAGGCAGGAGAATCACAAATTGAAGCCCAGTCTGGGAAACTGAGTGTCTTAGCAAAATCTGTCCCAACATAAAATATAAAAGGGCTAAATATGTACCTCAGTGTGAAGGACCTGGGTTCAGTCCACAGTACTGAAAACAAATTTCTTGATATCTATCAATCAAACTTACTCTGCGCAAAGCATTTTGAAAGTCATTTGCCAGTTCTAAAGTTGTGATAATAAATACTCCAAGAACTATAAGTCCCCCTGGTAGCATTCTGGATACCTAAACATAAAAATATAGCATTAGTTACTATAAGCAATGCAGTCCTTTCCATTTGAGAAATTAAATATTAAATCAGCATATATCTACCAAGTACCAGCTATACACAGTGTTGAAGCAGGGATAGCTGAAAAACTGATTAAAACAATGAGAACCATGATAACCAACATGAATGGAGTGTCATTATGTATATAATCTTCCTACAGCGTCCTTAGCTTTTTTGCTTAAAATTATGATAACAACATTCTTTAGCTACAATATATAAAACTCTTTCTCATAAGGCTAAAAGACTAAAATAACTTCTGAGATTTTTTTCAGTTGCTTCTCACCAACAGTAAAATAAATTTTATTTTCTTGGTACCAGGGATTTAACTCAGGACCTTGCACTTGCGAGGAAGGCAGTGGAACCAATGAGCTAAATCCCTGGACCTAAAAGATATACTTTATTTTTTATCTTAGACTCCTACTTTAGTCTTTCCAGAATCTAACGTTTTGAGTCTCATTTGACATTACTCTCCCTGAAATATTCAACTATCAGTACAAAACTAACACTTCTCCTTATATACGCCCACACTTTGTAACTCTATTCTTTTACTCAGGCTACTCCTTAGCCTGAACTGACTTTCTCTTATAACTTCTATAGTATAATTCAGAGTCTAATGAACTCCTATCAGAATTTGGTGTAGTCTCCCGTGGATCTTATCACACCACGCTTTATTATACATACATGCTACCAGTTTGTTCTCCATACTCTGTATTTTCTTTCACTTCATTGAGGCTATTTCTTAATGTCACATGGAATTCTCTCTGCCACAATTCTCTGGTTAGCTATTTGTCACTTAATGTATAAGCAAATGATAGCAATGTTCAGTCTCAGAAAACGGATACCATAGTTTAATCTCTCTTAATATTGTGCCTGCTAATGATTTCTCTGATTTTATAAATTCTATTTACTGTACTACCACAAATGTAATAAGTTTTCATATTTAGCACAGGAAATCTGTATATCTTCAAAATCACCAACATATAAAATTAACTATTTCTCTTTAGAGGTAAAATGTTAATCTAATTTATTACATAAATTCATTCACTTTTTCTATGTATATATACACATATACACATCCAGATATACACTCATACCACATAAAATTTTATAGGAAATGAAAAGGAAGATTAGAATAAAATTATCCTAAAAATCTCAGTTATGTTCAGCTACACTCTCCCTACTATAACTCCTCACTTGTAATTTACTTGATCACCAAGTCATCTTGATTTTTGCTCTTTCTCTGAAATTCCTTGGCAATGAACTTCCAGCCCACTGTAAGTCTGTTATGGATGTATTCATTTATTTAATATTTTGGAGTTCCCATTACTGTATAGACCATGGAAATGTGCCAGGCACTCAGGATGTAACAATAAATAAAACAGATGTTAACTCTTGCCCTCACAGGCTCAGAATCCAGTTTAAGTTCCCATCTTTCTTTTTACTATTACTGTAAATACGTTTTCTAGTCTATGTCCAACCTCTCAATATCTATTATTCAAGATACCAAAGTTATCTTCTAGATTACTAGGGAATCAATCATATTAACTACTTCACAAAATAAGGATCTCCAAAAGTACCATGAAGCTGCTGCCTAGCAAATACATTTCCTTTAGGACTGCACTCAAAAGCCACTCATAAACTGGCCCCTTCCAATCTTATGTTTAATTATATTCTTCTACATACGCTACACTTCAACTATACCAACTGCTTGCTATTCTCCTAACATATTTTCTTTTATGCCCTATGTCATTTATCTATATTATCTTTGGGATACTGAAAATGTTGTATGATTTCTTTTATTGGAAAAGTCCTACTTATCCTTCAAGTTCAGAGTACTCTGTAAGGCTGTTCTGAATCCTGCCACTAGTTTAACAACCTAAGAACAAAGTGTTTTGTTTTGTTTTTGGAACTGGGGATCGAACTCAGGACCTTGCGCTTGCGAGGCAGGCAGTGGAACCACTGAGCCAAATCCATGGACCAACAAAGTACTTTTTTTTTTTTGGTTAGTCAAATAAACACAAACTTAACCATGAAATGAAACAAATAAAATTACCTGGTGGGCATGTTCTGTAGCCCATTCTTCATCCAAATTATCCAACTTAGTTTTAGGATGTTTGATGTTCTCATTTTGTTCCTCCCTGGGTGGTGTTCTAGTGGCAAGAATCACATAATCCTTTTGTGAAGAACACTTCAAAAACAAATTATAAAAGATAATTAGAGTGATATCCGATTAAGGAAATCAGGTATCTTAGCTCTATGACATGAAAAACTAATATTTGTGCAGTGGTGCCTTAGTTTACAAACTTGTTTTATGAATTTTGGGGAAGATGGCTGTTTGTGTTTGTGTGGAGAAGAAGGCACGGTCGTGTTTGTCACCCGATGTGGAGTTTGTGAACAAGGTAAAACGTTTTGTTAAAAGCTTTTGCTTGAGGGCCAGGGAATTAGCTCAGTGGTTCCACCACCTGCCTCACAAGTGCAAGGACCTGACTTCAATCCCCGGTACAAAAAAAAAAGGTTTTGCTTGAGACCCAAATTGTTTACAAACAGAAGCATTCATGAATTGAGGCATTACTAGGTTACTCAGGGAGACTAACTTTTATTATCTAAAGATAAATTTAGAATCACTGAACAGCTCAGTTTATTGTAGTGAAAATTTCCTAAAAAGAATGAAAATAAAGTTGATAATGCAAATCAGTGTGGTATCTTCTTCATATGAACCTAACACTCAGTAATGATCATGAGCATCATCTTGGGATAAAAAGCATAGGAAGACTAATTATTTCTACGAGTTATTTCCAAGAGATGTACACAGATGAAGAATACCAGCCCTGATTAAAGATGCTCCTTTTTTCATAAAATATTTAACTTTGAAAAGAAAAAGTAACTGACACTGGAGAATGGGAAACAGGGTAATAAGCTTATGAGCTCTGAATTAAAAAGAAAGAAAAAGCCTATAGAAAACTGGAAGAAATAAAAAGCATGAAGACAGACTGGAAAGCCTAAAATTTTGAGAAACTCATTTGCAAGATGGTAGTTTTGCTGAGCTCTAGAAATACAGCAGCCTGTATTCACTAAGGTAAGTTTGGAAAAGAATCTCTTTCTGATATTTTATCTCTACTGAACACATGTTCTAAGGCTTGTCATTTACATTTTTTTAAATAAAGGGGGAAGAGACTCTTAAATAAAAAATTCCTAGCAAAATGATTCCCACATTAGATGTTATATAACCTGAGTCAAAAAGTAGTTCAGGAATATAGCTCAGTGATAGAGAACTTTGCCCACCATGTGTGAGGCACTGGGTTCAATCCTGAGAACAAAAAAAAAAAAGTAGTTTAGATTTGGCTAATGAAAGGACTTATGGAGTGGTACTACCTGGGTAGAAGTGTAGATATGCCCTCTGTCTTAGAAGAAATCTGATTTTTGAAAGCTCTGAAATGAATCTGTCTCTTAGGATTACAATGAGATTAACTAAGCTTGTGCAGAATGATGTAGAAAACCTGAACGTCATGAAGGGTCTAGGTACATAAGTGCTCTGCACAGTGTGTGTGTGTGTGTGTGTGTGTGTGTGTGTGTGTGTGTGTGTGTGTGTGTGTATTATCTCTTTGCTCTATGAAGTGAAAAACTAATACTTGTACAGTAGTGCATTGGTTTACAAACTTAATTTGTTTCATGAATTTTGGGGAAGATGGCTGTTTGTGTTTGTGTGGAGATTTGTTTTGGGGGGGCAGTGCTGGGGATCAAACCTAGGGCCTGGTATATGCTAGGCAAGAGCTCTAAGACTGAGCTATATATCCAGGTCAGTGCATTTTTTATAAGTGGTAAAATAGGGAATCAAATTATAAAACAAAATATCTTGATTATAAGAATAGACTCAAAACAAGGAAAGTTAATTATGAAATTTGAAAGTTTTATAGCATCAGACTAAAACAGGCAGGAAGAAAGTTGTCCTGATGATAGCTTTATTTAGTATTAAGCCTTGAAAGCAAGATGTTGCTTATGCTTTGTAAAAGAAGTATTCAAATATCTTCTCCATTCTGTGTGGATTTTTAAGGCCTACTTATGAAGGAAATAGAATTGTCTAATTTCCAAGTTTACCCCAATCCCTTTCCTTTCCTCTCTATTGAACCAACATTTTTTTAAAAAAGTAAGATGGATAGTACAATATGTAACAAAAAATATAATCACTGTTGCTGTAAGTCTAAGACAAAAATTAAAATTGTTAAAATCTTTTTTCATAAGAATGGGGCAACCCAAAAATAGTAAAGATTAGAATGGAGTGGAAAGAACAAAATGTGAATAATCTGTCAACAAAAGTTCTAGTTTTGGAGTTTCTATGCTACTTTATAAATTAAAAGTTACTTTCACTTTGTCAAAAGGGAACATGCTCTGACATGAACAAGCCTGAACTAGCTTTGTCCTACTTTGATACTTTTCCTCAAATGATGTACCTGAGATTTAGTTTTACATCATACCCTTGCATTGCCCAACCTTGCGTTTACTGTTAAACAGCACATTTAACTTAAATAAACAGGTAATTTTTTTAAATCAATAAATGCACATACCTGTCCTATTAAAAGACCAGAGACAAAAGATTTTCCTTGGAGATTAATATTTGAAAGGTACTGGCCAACAGTCTCATCTACAATGTAGGTTCGTCCCATTGCTGAGAGCTAATTCAGTCTCCTAAATCATGAGAAAAAAATATACAAACATCTTCAGCAATATAATTTTTCAATGTTTTTAGTATGAGAGTAATATAGTAAGAAAAGTGGTACTATCCTGATACTACCCAGACCCTGAAGTGATTGCTTATTAAATGGGCTACTCTTTCTTCCAAAGCTCAAATGTAGCTTCAGAATTCTCCTTAACAGTGTTGCAGGAAATGAGTATCAACCAGAGTTCCCACGAAAGATCAAATCTGTCTGTCATATTTTATATAAGGAAGAAGACACTAAATAATAGTCAACACACTTGATTTTTACTTTAGATCTTCTTCTAGTAGTATTATCTTTGATAATTTATTATCAGAGCCTTTATTTCTAAGATAGTAAAGGTGATTCTCTAAACATTTTATAAGAAGGCAGAGAATCAAATCATTTACTCAATAAGCATATACTATAAAACTACTATTTGCGAGAAACTGTTAGGTGGGATGGCACAAAGACAAAAAACTTTGATCTCTGCCTGAGTAACTCATATTAAATCATATAAGTAGATTACAGCGATGCAGTAATAACTTTGTATATGCCTTCTATTTTGTATAGGCCATTATTCTAAGTACTTTACATGCAATAATATTTAATATTTACAAACCCCTATGAAGTAGGTATTACTTAAGTCTTCTTTTCCCAGATTTAAGTAATTGAAACATAGAATAGTGAAATAACTTGCCCAGATGACAAAGTGGCAAAGGTGGGCTTTAAATTCAGGGAGTCTTGCTCAAGAATCCGTATCTTCAACTATTATGTGCATACTCAGAATTGTACACAGTTCTTCAATTATTTCACAACAAAGGGTAGTTCCTCTTCTGGTGTTTCTCCAGTTTGTGAATGAAAACTAGTAGAGTACCCCTACTTAATGTTGTTTGACTTGAATTTTTATAGCTTAAAATCAAAGACACTGAATAGACAACCACAATGACAATCTCAAAAGGCTCACATTCTGTGTGAAAAATAAAAATATGAGATTAATTTATTTTTAAAAAGCTATAAAATGGATATAAACAGAGAGACCATGGAAACATAATTGCAGTATTTTGAATCCTGCAATTTAGAGATGAGTCATTCAGTTGTATAATATATTTGACTCAATACTACAATCTCAAGTTTACTACACATATGTCAGGGTGGTATATCTGACACTAACAGTATAAACTACCAGCAACAAAATGATTCTGCATTATTCTAAAACTAAAGTCCAGAAAATTGGTTCAACTTTGAAAGGGCTCGTCAGAAGCCACTGTTCCTTAGATACAAAGAACCTATTCAATTTTGTATCAAAATATGTAAGCTTTCTTCCTAAGTCTTTTTGGACAACAGTAAAAGCGAATTACGTTTTTATACCTTCCTACTTTTGAGACTGACTACATCTTCCTATGTAAAACCTTAATGCCTTTAAAAAGTTAAGGGCTTTCAACTACTAGAAATTCCTTACGCCAGGTATGTATTTCTTCTACTTCTATTCCTCTTTTTCTTTTGGCCTTTAATAATTTCTGATTCTTAGAAAAAACAATAAATGACGCTAATATTATATTTAATCTTCTAAATTTATTTCTTCCAAAGTGTCACTTACTAGCCACCTTACTGTGTAAAAACCTGAATGCAATAGGAAAATAAAAATCTACTAAATTATTAAGTTTGGTTGAATGTCAGATAATTTTTTCTTTATTGTCTTTAAAAACTTTTAAATGTTGCCCACCATACTTTATAAGGACACTACAAAAACATTTATATTGCCTTTTACAGTTATAAATTTCCTAAAATGTGGCTTTAGATAAGTCAATCTCCCTAGAATCTGGTTTCCATCTAAAGAAATAATTTGGATCTTGACAGATCTGAAAACCAATTTAATTTATGAATTCTGTTAGTGTAAGTATAGAATATCTGCATTTCCCAAGAGTATAATACCGTTGGCATATGATATAGTACAGAACTGCATGCAAGCAACCTTAAAAGAGTTTAAATTTAAAATGTTTTGGGGAGAAATTTCACGTTCCTCACTAATTTTATTTTACCTTAGTTATCACAAAATAACAGGTGAGATACTTAAAATTTTTTTAGATGTTTTCACAACAGCAAAAAAAGAAACAAATTTCATGTAAGAACTAAACCACCAATTCACAGACGATACATGACTGTGAGAACTGTTAGGGGGATGATATTAGGAACACCGTATTTTTAGTAAAGAATTTAACAAATTCTTGAACACGAAACAAACATGGAACAAAATACAGACTGAGTTTAGAAATAGCAGAATATGATCTGAAAACAAATAGTTTTGTTATGAAGGCTTGTTATAAGGTGACAAGTGATTTTTTTTAAAGAAAATAAGGCTTTTGTTACAACAGTTTTCACTTTTAAAAACATCAAAATAAGACAATTACTGCTAGTCACCTTAAAACATAGGATACATTTAAACTCCTCCTGGTTTATTTTATCCTCTTACTAAACACACTCATACTTCCCCCTTAGGCTGACTTACCTGTTCTACAGAATGTGCACGCGTGACATAAATCTATCGAACTGTCAGGGAATGCGGGCGTATTCAGCCTCTGCGGACTACACTCTGATCCCAATTACTGAGCCAACTAATTTCATCAGAAAGCGACTTCTTACACTTCCTTTTTCACCTCGGAACTAGGCTCCAAAGTGGCGCAGACTGATGACGCGCCGGTTCCCCCCACCCTCCACCAGAGGGCCAGTGGTTTGCCACCCCGCCCCCTTCCGGTGCCACTGAGAGGGAGGCAGTAGCCTAGAACTTGCTGTAAGGCCCTGCTGGGACTGACGCCCTCTAGTGCCTCAGTGTCTAGAAGCCACCAAAGAGACCGAACCATTTGCGCCCTGGGGATTAAACGGTAAAGCAGCCCCGCTCTTCAGGGACTGACACCAGTTGACGACAATTTTTTTTGGCGCCGGCGCATGATCTTGTAGCCAAGCGAGCCGAACCAGGGGGCAGAAAGAACAGGGGATGCAAACCCGCGCTGCGGATTTGGTGGACGGAAGGGAACAGAAAAAACAACAACAACAGCAACAACAACAACAACAACAACAAAAACACTACATTTCCCAGAGGCCTGCGCGGCTTGAAGCGGGGTGTTGGGGACGGAAGTCGGCATGCGCTGCAGGGTTTACGAACTCGGATGCCCAGGGTGCATTTCTTCCCGCGGCTGCCTGCCCTCTCTGGGCACTGGAGCTGCGGCGCATCTGGTGCCACGGCTAACGCAAGAACTCGGTTTCCCAGGGTCCAGCCGCGGCAGTCTCGGGCGAACCAGCGCGCGCAAGCCCTCGAGCCAGACGGCGGAGGCATCGGCCCAGGTTTCTGGGTTTTGAGTCTCCTTTTTTCTGCGTTTCTGCTCTGTCGGCCGCTGTCGCGGCCCTTATCCTGGCCGACATGGCGGCTGTGTTGCAGCAGGTTCTGGAGCGTACAGAGCTGAACAAGCTGCCCAAGTCGGTCCAGAACAAACTTGAAAAGTTCCTTGCTGATCAGCAGTCCGAGATCGATGGCCTGAAGGGTCGGCACGAGAAGTTTAAGGTGGAAAGCGGTAAGAGACGCCCTTCCCGCCCTTCCGTCCAAGCTCTGGCTTATCTTCCCCACTACAGCTTGCAATATTCACGACGTTTACCAGGAGCATCACTTTCCGGAGTCTGAGCGCCCTAGGCCTTCTCTTCACTGCTTCTGGGACAGTTTGATGAGAAGACAGCCCCCTTTTTTGTTCCAAACTTAAATACACTTTTACTGTTTTTGTTTTTACGTTGTGATTAGGTCGATCTCATGTACAGACTCAAAACTTTGTCCAACAAATAGAAATTGTGAAGAATTTGCGTCATTTACACCTGACTTTTCCCATCCCGTATTCTTTTAAATCTGGAGTATCTACCCTGTTGTGTTGGACTTTAAATGACCAGTATTTTCCGCTCTGTATTTTAGTCACCTGAATTCATGTTTTTCTCTAATTCATTCCTCCATGCATTGGTTTTTCATGTATGTGTCGCTCTATGATCCCATCATGAAGTAGATTTCACAAAACTGATTTTAGATGCAGAAGATATAATGGATATGCAATGAACTTGTAGTACATAAATTTAATGTGTTGTTCCTCTAAAAGTGGGAGTTGGATAGAAAATATTAACACCTGCTTGTGATAGCATGCCTTCAAAACAACAGTTGTTTGAACATCCTTAAAACATTAGCAATATAATGGTCAGCAGTAGTAACATACAGATTTTCTGGCTGAAGCAGACAGCTTCTTTTGGGAAGTTTAAGTATTTATTTTCAGAAAAAAATTCATGATTTCATAAAATTAAAAATTTTAGTAATCTTATAGCAATGTGAGGTATTTTTTTGACATTTAAAAATAACCTTTTAAAGCAATTTTTAATCTAAATTTTTTTTTACAGTATAATCCTTTTTAGAAATCTGCCTTAAACTAAGCATTCTACTTACCTCTGGGAAAATACTAAGAAATGTAATATATGTTGCCCACTGGAACAGTATTCATAAAAGTTCTTATTTTTCTTTTGTCATGTAATTTAGTTGGAAATGTAAGGATAGTCCTTTTCAGTGCTCAATTTATCTTTAAATTCTCTTGTTTGAAGTGGAGTTCCAGTACTTTGTATAAATTTTAAATCAATTAAAAGTTAATAGTTGCACAATGTGTGTGCATGTGATTGGTTAATTGATTTATTTTTGCCCTGTCTTCTGTAGAACAACAGTACTTTGAAATAGAAAAAAGGTTATCCCACAGTCAGGAGAGACTTGTGAATGAAACCCGTGAGTGCCAAAATTTTCGATTTGAGCTTGAGAAACTCAGTAAGTATTTGTCTATATCTTTGTAAACGTTCTTAGAATATTGAGATCTTCAGAAAGTTGTGTTCTTTGGAAACATTTACTTATTGTATATGAAAACAGATTAAGCATTATTGTTTTTGTTGATATTTTGATTTTTTTACTAAATGGTGAGGACTTTGTGAGAACACAGGGTTTAAAATGGTTAAGAAGCCTGGGTTCAGGGGTGGGGATTTAGCGCAGCGGTTCGGTGGCCTGCCTTGCAAGTGCAGGGACCCAAGTTCAATCCCTGGTACCCAAAAAAAAAAAAAGAAAAAAGCCCGGGTTCTAATTCTGACTTGGCTGCTAAAAGTGGCTTTGCCATATGTAAATCACATCTGGTTTTTCATTTCAAAATGACTACAGCCACATATGTATCTGCTTACAAAGTCTTACATATCAAATGAGATGTTTTTGAAAGTTTTTTGAATAAGTTAAAGTATGATGCAGTAGAACAAAAGGGATTGTTTTTATGTTGAAAAATTAAAGCCTGTTGATTCTATTACTTTTTCTTATTCTGTTAAATATCTGTGAATCAATACATTTTTAAAGGCCTCATTCCAGTGATAATGGGTAATTTTCATAGCTTTCTTATAGTGCACAAGATATTAAAGATCTTGACATTTCTCAGCAGTATGTGTCTTGTGCTTTGCTTATGATAGAAAAACACATCAAAAAGGATCTTAATGGAGTGAGGGTATAAGGAATTGCTTTTAAGCATAGTGTGATTTTAATTTGATTCAATAGAGAAAAAACATAGGAATCTCTTAAAGGAGTTGTTTATATTTCAGCTTTCTTTCAGTGAGTCTGTTGCCTTTGGCTGTTTGTTTGGGTTATAACTTTTCTCAGCTTTTCTTAGCCCATACATTTTTTTTTCTTTTTTGGTTTTTTGAGACAGGGTCTCACTAGGTAGACTGACCTGGAACTCACTATGTAGCCCAGGCTGGTTTCGAACTCACAGCAGTCCTCCTGCCTCAGCCTCCCAAGCGATGGGATTACAGGCATGTGCTACCACACCAGGCTAGCCCATTCATTTTTAAAACATATACATATACCTATGTGATAGGTTGTTCATAGTTTTGCCTTGACAAAGCATAATGAAAAGGTTTGCTCATGATATTCACATGCTAAAGAGCTTCAAGAAAATGGCTGTGAGGTTTTTTTTTTTCATTTTTTAAATGGAATCTGAGATAAGATCGGGGAAATCTAGACAAAGATCAAATGCCTCCTAGATGTACAGTTATCTTTTTGTTTTTTTATATATAACTTCAGATCTACAAGTCTGGGAAGCAGTAAATAACTTTAAAACAAAACAGAAAAGCTACACTAACCTAGCAGGGCTTTTAAAATTCTTTTATAATAATACTTTTGTCTAAATAGAATATAGGAATTACAGGTATTCCTTAACCAGTCTTCAAATTGAAGACCTAAGCACACTGTTTGGACTAACAAGTTTATTTATAGAGTCTCAATGTCTTTTTTTGTGCAGTATACCTTATTTATACATGTACTTGTTTATACTATACAGTACAGTACTGTAGTTTTATATTCTGTTATATATTACAATGCTTCATGTAAGATAAGCAAATAAAAGCAAAATCATCAATTTGGAGTTTCCTTTGCTTCTTCTGAATATTGTAATCTACATATTATATACAATTCTTCAATTAGTGACTAATTCATTTAATGACCAAATTGCAATCATTAAACAAGTAGTCTCTGTAATAAGAATGTATTTGCTCAATAAATTGCTAGTACATAAAATAGATATATTTTAGTGGAGAAAAGTTTTAAAAAGAGTATTTGTCCATAATTATATGTGTGTATTTGGAAGAAAAACTGTGTGAGGGAAGATAGTCCATTATATGTAGAGATTGAGGAAATAATAATTGAGTCTCAAACATAATTTTTTTCCATGTTAAATGCTTTCTTTAGAATAATATACAAATGTGAAATTACAGGTATCTATTGTGATTTACTATATGTGCATTTTATGTACTCCAAAAGATATTTTCTCTCTTGTCTTACTCAGTTTTCCCTTTTCTAAATAAGAGATTTATTTTTTTATGATATACGTTAATATAGAAGATGCCATTGAAAAGTAAAGGTATTTATTGTTACATAGATTTTTGCTGCAAATATTGGCTAGAATTATTACATTTGATTTTGGATATAGAATACCATATTTAAAATTTTGGTCTAGAATACAGTAAATTTGGAATGTATTCATAAATTTGGAATGTAATTACAAGTCAGTCTTCTGGGCCTCAGTTTCTTCCATTTTAAAACTGAGGGTTGCACTCATTGCAAGTTTAAAGTGTATATATGAGTGCATATATATATTTCTATATATGTTCATAAAATTTCTTTTATTTAGACAGTCAACTGAAAGCACTAACTGAGAAAAATAAAGAATTAGAAATTGCTCAGGATCGCAGCATCACAATTCAGGTAAAAGTTATTACTTTGAATAAAGCTAATTGTGTATATGATACTAAAGAAAGTTTTCTATTCTGATTGTTTAGTACATATTAATCAGTGAGATGTCGTCTTATTAGAAGACACTACCATAAAAATACGTGCATGTAAGCTTCATAATTAAATCATTACATGTTTTATTGACAATGGACATTACTTTTATTCAGTGAAAATTATGTATGCTTACTATAGTTCAGGTATTATTCAAAACTTTTTTGGGGCGGGGAGGTACTGGAGCTCGAACTCGGGACCTTGCACTTGCAAGGCAGGCGGCAGCACCGCTGAGCTAAATGCCCAGCCCTCAAAACATTTTGATGTTGGAGATTTGGGTGAATCCACATTGTTAAATATTTACTTAGA